TTTCTTTCTTTCTTTCTTTTTTGAGACAGAGTCTTGCTCTGTCGCCCAGGCTGGAGTGCAGTGGCGCAATCTCGGCTCATTGCAAGCTCTGCCTCCTGAGTTCACGCCATTCTCCTGCCTCAGCCTCCCGAGTAGCTGGGCCTACAGGCGCCCGCCACCACACCAGGCTAATTTTTTGTATTTTTAGTAGAGACGGGCTTTCACCGTCTTAGCCAGGATAGTCTCCATGTCCTGACCTGGTGATCTGCCCACCTCAGCCTCCCAAAGTGCTGGGATTACAGGCATGAGCCACTGCACCTGGTCTAAAGTTTCTTTTTAAAAAAACCTTTTATATTTGTATGTTTTTATTTTTTTTGAGACAGAATCTGGTTTTGCTGTCACGCAGTGGCATAATCATGGCTCACTAACCGTGGTTGAGCCTTGGTTTCTCCCTGCTCAAGGAATAGTTCCACCATGTCCTCTCCAGTAGCTGGGACCACAGGTCCCATGGTGAGCCACCATGCCTGCACTAAAAACTTTATCTTTCTGTTTCCTTATTTCAAGCTTTATTGCTAAACTACTCAGCTGGGTACAGTGGCTGATGCCTGTAATCTGAGCACTTTCGGAGGCCTAGGCGGGAGGATCATTTGAGGCCAGGAGTTTGAGACCAACCTGGGTAAAATAGCAAAATCCTGTCTTTTTTTTTTTTTATTTTTTTAAACAAACTACTTACATCCTTTTCTAACAAAAGAAAGAACTTGTATCTTATGACTTTAGAATTTGGCAGCCAGTACATGTGTAGCAGGTTATCATGCAAATAAATAGAAGCAGTAGAATAATTCAGTAGCAATACCAGGAGTCAGTTTCTGGAAGTTAGGGGTACTCTAATATTAAACTTTTGTGGAAAAATCCATACTTTTTTTAAAATCAGGTTTTTGTTCATTCTCCTAGAATTGCAGTTAATTTAATATTTATGCTTTGACTAGGTTGCTAATGAGTTAAGAAGGTGGTTCTGTAGTGATAGTTCTATCAAAAAAGCCGATGGAGATACTTAAGCAGTTGTGGGCAGCCATTTAACCTATGTTTTTGGTATCTATAGAATGAAAAATATGGCATGGTATGCTCATTGTAAAGGTTTTGAAAAATGACTAAAATAATAGTTCTTACAAATATTAAGCTCTAATTAATAGCAATAATAGCATTCTGTGCTTTTAAGTTTTTATTTCATTAGTGTGCATAAATTCTCTGGTATCTTGTGCTTATTATAGTGTTTGATGATGGTGACGAGCGAACATTGAGACGTACCTCGCTTTGTCTGAAAGGAGAGAGACATTTTGCAGAGAGTGAGGTAGGGTGACATGGATGGACTATTTGGATTGAACTACAGGTACTGATCTAGAGGCAAAACGTGATTTAATTAATCTGTTTCTTATACAGACACTTGACCAGCTTCCATTAACAAATCCAGAGCATTTTGGAACTCCAGTAATTGCAAAGAAGACAAACAGGGGAAGGAGGTCTTCTCTTCCTGTGTGAGTTTTTTCGTATATGGTATCATTTTAATTACAATAATTAGAACATTAAACAAGTGATTTTCTTAGGGTGGCTAAATTCATTTGGGTAAGCTTTCCATAGCATATTGTATCCTTATGTTAGACATTTTATGCTGAGTGGACCTTATTCTTGATTATTCCCATTATTTGCCAGGAATGATAACAACTCTTATTTTAAAAAGATTATTTTTAAGTTACTTTGCCAAAGTTTTTTTTGTTTTGTTTTGGGTTTTGTTTTTTGAGATGGAGTCTCGCTCTGTCGCCCAGGCTGGAGTGCAGTGGTGCAATCTCGGCTCACTGCGGCCTTGGCTAACTGCAACCTCTGCCTCCCGAGTTCAAGCAAGTCTCCTGCCTCAGCCTCCTGAGCAGCTGGGACTACAGGCACATGCCACCACACCCAGCCACTTTTTTTTTTTTTTTTTTTTTTTGTATTTTTAGTAGAGACAGGGTTTCACTGTACTGGCCAGGCTGGTCTCGAACTCCTGACCTCGTCATCCACCTGCTTCAGCCTCCCAAAGTGCTGGGATTACAGGCATGAGCCACCACGCCCAGCCTGAGCCACTGCACCCGGCCCAAAATTTTTAACTGATATGATGATTTTTCTATTTTAAGTGAGTATATGTTTTTTATCTTTTACTTCAAAAACATTTCAAACTTAAAGATTGCAAGAATAATACATGAATGTCTGTGTGAATGTCTATATACTTTTTTTTTTCTGTTTTTTTGTTTTTTTTTTTTGTGAGACGGAGTTTCACTGTGCCACCAAGGCTGGAGTGCAGTGGCACGATCTTGGCTCACTGCAACCTTTGCCTCCCAGGTTCAAGTGATTCTCCTGCCTCAGTCTCCTGAGTAGTTGGGATAACAGATGCGCCACCACGCCTGGCTAGTTTTTGTATTTTTAGTAGAGACGGGGTTTCACTATGTCGGCCAAATGGGTTTCAAACTCCTGACCTCAAGTGATTCGCCCTCCTTGGCCTCCCAAAGTGCTGGCTGGGATTATAGGTGTGAGTTACTGCGCCTGGCCTAATGTCTATGTACGCTTTATCTAGATTTACTAGTTCTTAACATTTTTCACACATTTGCTTTATGATTCCTTCTCTCTATATATACAAATTTTTTTCTTTTCTTTTTTTTTTTTGAGATGGAGTCTCACTCTGTCGCCAGGCTGGAGTGCAGTGGCGCAATCTCAGCTTATTGCAGCCTCTGCCTCCCGGGTTCAGGTGATTCTCCTGCCTCAACCTTCCCAGTAGCTGGAACTACAGGTGCGTGCCACCACGCCCAGCTAATTTTTGTATTTTTAGTAGAGCCAGAGTTTCACCTGTTGGCCAGGATGATTTTGATCTCTTGACCTCGTGATCCACCCGCCTCGGCCTCCCAAAGTGTTGGGCCACTCCCAGCCTATACTAATTATTTTTATATTTTGTAATAATAATTTTATTTTGCTGAACTATTTGAGAGGAAGTGCCAAGCATCATGATCCTTTATCATTAAATATTTAAGAACAAGGAGATGCTTTTACGTAACCAAAGTATGAATACCAAATTTAGAAAATTTAACATTGATGGACTACTATCATATGGTTAATATTTCAAACTTTGCCAGTTATTCCAATAAAAGCCTTTATAGCATCCCCCAGTTCCCCTGATTCCAGGATCCAATTCAAGATCATGCATTGCATTTAGTTTATATGGTTCTTGAGTCTCCTTTAATCTGAAAAAATTGTGCAGCCTTTTTTTCCCCATGACATTGACATTTTTGAAGAATACATGACAATAGTCTTGTAATCTTTTCCCTTATATACGTTTGTCAGATTGTTTTCTCATTGTTAGATTCAGGTTATACATTATACTCCATAAGTGATGTTGTGTCCTGAAGGAAAGCCCAGCAAGAAGTATTATCAGTTTGTCCCATATCTGGTGATACTACCTTTGATCACCTGGTTTAGGTGGTGTCTGCCAAATTTCTCAACTTCAGAATTACTATAGTTACCATTTTTCCCCTTTGTAATTTGTAAATCTGCGTGGAGATACTTTGAGACTACTTAAATATTCTATTCTCTGTCAAACTTCCATTTTCAAGTTTTATCTACTAATAATTCTTGCCTGAATCAGTTAGTACTATTATGATAGCAAAATGCTGATTTTTCTAATTTTTCATTCTTGCTACATTTTTTAGTTACCATTTAGCTACAATGAAATTCTTTTCCTAATGCTATGGATTCTAATTTTACTTAATGGGTTATAATTCAGGTTGTTCCAGATTTAGCCAAGGGAGCCTTTCCAGGATGGCTTCTGTGTTCTTTTGATAAGGCCTCACCATTTCTTGAGCACTTTTTCACCTTCTGGCATGACAAGGTATCCTAGGCTCATGTTAATTTTTTCCTGCGCCCACCCTGGAATTGGCCATTTCTACAAGGGTCCCTCATTTATTTTAGTGGGAAATAAGATTTAGAAACCAAGATCCCAGTATTAGATATGTACTCACTGCTCCTGGGGAGTATATAATGAGTATTTTTAAAGGCAAAGTCAAATAACACCTAAGCTGCAAACCAGAAAGTAATAAAAGACCTCTGAGGACCCTAAATGGAAATCCCAACTCGGCCATATACTAGATATATCACTTCAGGAAAATTACTTAACCTGTTTATAGTTAACTGCATTTATGTATAATAACTCAAATCTTCACAAAACCTGCAAGATATTCTCAATTTATAGCTGAGGAAAATGGGGATGGTGATGGCTTGCTGGTTTTTGTATTAGATAATGTATACAATTTTCTTTTTTGTTGTTGTTGTTTTTGTTTTTTGTTTTTTTGAGCCAGAGTCTCACTTTGTCACCCAGACTGGAGCATAGTGATGTGATCTCAGCTCATTGCAACCTCTGCCTCCCAGGTTCAAGTGATTCTCGTGCCTCAGCCTCCCGAGTAGCCAGGACTACAGGTGTGTGATACCACACCTGGCTAATTTTTGTATTTCAGTAGAGATGGGGTTTTATCATATTCGCCAGGCTGGTCTCCAACTCCTGACCTCAAGGGATCCACCTGCTTTGGCCTCCCAAAGTGCTGGGATTACAGGCATGAACCACTGCGCCCAGCCGATAATGTATATAAATTTATCAGTGTGTAATAAGTACTCAGGACATGATATGTATTTAATAATTCAATACCCAGTATTTTATTTATGAACTACCTCCATAGACTTCTACTGAAAACTCCCTTATACTTATTTTATAATTTTAACAAGTTGAGTTATCAGGTTTCTCAGAGTGCAGCCGATTGGAAGATGTGTCAAAAGGAAATACAGGAAAAATTAGCAGATGCAGTCAATAAAGAAAACTGGAGTCTCACAGCTGAGAAGTCTATGAGAAGAAAAGAAGGACTAAAACCATAAAAATATAATGAACTAAGTGGTTTTGAGCCATTTAAGAATTAATAAGAGTTAATAGCTCCGTGTACTTTAGTAAACTCCAACATTATCAATATATTGCAGGATGTCTTCAAGAAGATGTCAAATTCAATATACATTCATTAGGAGCTCAAATGGGGAATACATAGTTATTTTTATTTTAAAAGTGTAGGCTTGGCTGGGCACGGTGCCTCACACCTGTAGTTCCAGCACTTTGAGAGGCCGAGGTGGGTGGTTCACGAGGTCAGGAGTTCAAGACCAGCCTGGCCAACATGGTGAAACCCTGTCTCTTCTAAAAATACAAAAATTAGCTAGGTGTGGTGGCACATGCCTATAATCCCAGCTACTCGGGAGGCTGAGGCAGGAGAATCGCTTGAACCCCGGGAGGCAGAGGTTGCAGTAAGCTGAGATAGTAACACTGCACTCCAGCCTGGGTGACAAAGCGAGACTCCATTTCCAAATACACACACACACACACGTATGTACATATATATACACATATATGTATGTGTGTGTATATATATATACACATATATACACACTCATATATATAAATATGTATGCTTAAAATTTGTTGACACTTAAGGGTAAACTTTAGTTACCCAGATAAGTTACCTTAAGTAAACCCTTATGGGTGTTTTCATAGCCAGATATTTTCGTAGCCAGTTAGAAAATTAAAGTTGTTATCTGGCATAAAAATAGAAAGGCAATCTTAAAAAAAAAAAAGTATTTGGCATAATAAGTATTTAATGGTGTTGTAATTAGGTTTTTCTGTCCCAGCTGGTGTTGGCATGAGAGCCTAAGCCTAAGCACTCATTGGTCTAGTGAAGTGGACTCAGAGTTACCATAGACAGCTCAGGACTACATACTTCTGTGAGGCTAAGGAAGGACCCATGTCTTCAATTATAATAAGAATGAAGAGGCTACTACTTCAGGGTAATCCATTAGGAATTGAATTGACTATATTAAATTCACAATACTCTGTATCAAATAATTATTTGTGTTAGGATAATGATCAAGTTATTCTAACTTTTAGTACCGAAGATGAAAAGGAAGAAGAAAGTAGTGAAGAGGAAGATGAAGACAAGCGCCGTCTCAATGATGAATTACTAGGAAAAGTTGTAAGTGTGGTGTCTGCAACTGAGAGGACTGAATGGTACCCTGCTTTGGTAGGTAAAGTTTCTTTGCAAAGTTAATCAGCCATCTAAATATTTGTTTAAAATGGATTTTTAAAAAGCATTTAAAATATTTTGAAAATATTAAACAAATTTGGACTTTATTGGAGATTTTTTTTAATTGAATAATCATAGGTCCAGAATACTTCACTGTCTTCTTTGGTTATTCTTTTTTTAATTCTATATAGCCTTTTATTGAGCTCTTTTGTATTTCTTCCCTCATAATATGTCCAATGGCTTTTTACTCTATTCTCATTGCCATGGGTTCCCTTAACTTGATTCTTGAATTCTTTCTTTTCTATTAATTCAGACTAATTTTCCAGCACTAACTTTTATAGAGAAATTTTTTTTCTTTCTGTTGAGACAGGGTCTCACTCTGTTGCCAATGCTGGAGTGCAGTGATGTGAGCACAGTTCACTGCAGCTTCAGCCTCTTGGGCTCAGGCATTCCTCCTGTTTCAGCCTCCCAAGCAGCTACAACTACAGGCATGCGCCTCCACACCTGGCTATTTTTTATTTTTTGTAGAGATGTAGCCTCCCGATGTTTCCCAGGCCAGTCTCAAACTCCTGGGCTCAAGCAGTCTTCTCACTTTGGCCTCCCAAGGGGCTGGGATTACAGGTATGAGCCAGTATGCCTGGCTGAGAAATCTTTTTACAATATAAATTTAGTCATGATCGTCCCATTCTCAGAAATAGAAAACCTTCAGTGAGTCTGCCTAGTTGATCAGTTTTGCATTTTTTTAAATGGATGTTTGAGGCCATCCCTGGCTCTCAGTTTATTTCCTATTTTTAGTGTAAACTATACTCAAGTTGTTTAACTGCCCCATATGTAGGATACATCACTCCTCTAAGCCTTTATCCCTGCCTTAAATTAATTAGCATTTACTGAGGATCTACAGTGAGTTCAGCTTTGTTCAAAGTTCTTTAGAAGAGGCTTAAATGTATTGCCTTCAAGAAGCTTACTGTAGACATGTAAGAGATTACATCGTTATTAAAGATTGTATAGTAAATAAAAAAAATTTGGTACAGAGTGGAGTAAGAAAGGATGAAAGGAGGGATTCACCTACATTTTAAGGAAGATTTTGGAAATGACAACTTTTAGGTGGGTTGGTAGAGAAAGCTAATTTTTGCTTACACAGAGAAGGAGTAAGAAGAAGAGCTACACAAGAGAATTATTTCGGAGAGGAGTAAAAAATAATTGGAAATTAATGTCTTTTTTCTTCTCTTCCTACTCCTTTACTTCTTCCTCCACTTCCTCATCCCCTCTTAAATATCTCTTAAAGTTCAACTCAAGTCCTACCTTCTTTGCAGGGTCTCTCTTAAATACTCTTCTTTTGTTTTGTTTTTGAGAGAGGGTCTTTGTCGCCCAGACTGGAGTGCAGTGGTGTGATCACAGCTCACTGCAGCCTTCACCTCCCTCGGCTCAGGTGATCCTCCCACCTCAGCCTGCTGAGTAGCTTGGGACCACAGGTGTACGTCAGCACACCTGGCTAATTTTTGTATTTTTTTGTGGAGATGTGGTTTCGCCATGTTGTCCAGGCTGGTCTCGAACTCCTGGGCTCAAACGATGACCTTGGCCTTCCGAGGTGCTGGAATCAACAGGTGTGAGCCACTGCACCTGGCCCTAAATACTCTTAACATAAGTATGCCCCTTTGAATTTTGGTATCACTTATCTCTAATAATAATTGTGGCACAAAATGTATCTCAAATTAGATTATAATCCTGTAAAGAGCTGAAAGTATATTTTTAGGTTTCTGTGTGCGTGTAAATATATTACTCAGTTCATAGATAATAGATTTAATTTATATGAGGAAGGTCTGAAAGTCCCTTGAACCTTTCAGTTGTATAGAAAAATAAGTAATTTGGAATTTGGATGCAGAATATTCAGATTTTAGGTTTGCCAAGAGTTTTTTTTTTTTTTAATAAATTCTTTTATTTATTCAGATTTATCATTTACCAGGGGATATTGCAAATAAAAAATGAGTAGGACACTATTCTTACATTTGGTGATTTTATGTATAATGTACAGAATAATCCAAGTAACAGTAATATAAAATAGTATATGTTCAATATTAGGACTCCCTGGCCTGAGAGATTACATTTATTTGAGGAAATTACAGAAAGCCTTCACAAAGCAGGTGCTTTTGAGCTGAGCTTTGAAGGACTTAAAGATAGTAGGCAAAGCTTCACTAGAGGAAACAAAAAAATAGGTTAAAAAAAATAGCATGCCTGTAATCCCAGCACTTTGGGAGGCCGAGGTGGGCAGATCACAAGGTCAGGAGATCGAGACCATTCTGGCTAACACGGTGAAACCCTGTCTCTACTAAAAACACAAAAAATTAGCCGGGCATGGTGGCGGGCGCCTGTAGTCCCAGCTACTCAGGAGGCCAAGGCAGGAGAATGATGTGAACCCGGAAGACGGAGCTTGCAGTGAGCCGAGATCGTGCCACTGCACTCCAGCCTGGACAACAGAGCAAGACTCTGTCTCAAAAAAAAAGGGATGGGTTTGTTCACGGAACTATTTGCTCTGGGAATCCATTTTGGCTAAATATTAGATGTGAGTCGGAGAATAATAGAATATATACCTGTGAACATAATTTGATTCTAGGGCGGAAGGGTCTTTAAAAGTTCGCCTAAAGAATTTGGGCATAATTCTGCAGAGAATTTTCCAGAAGAGTGATGTTATTTGAGCTACATGTTTAGGAATGTGAATGAAGAATGGCATGTTACTAGAAAGACTGGAGGTGGCAGGAATCTATTTGAAGGCCATTAAATAGTTCATAGGTGAGGTAATTAGACCTTGGATTATGCCTATTCATCCTTTAAAATTTACTTTAAGCTTTTCCTGCCACACCTTTTCCTTGCCCAGGTTAGGCAAAATCTCCCTCCTCAATGTTTTCATATTATTATATGCTAGTGGTATCACTGTACTTATCCTCCATTGTGTTCTTTTTGTGTATCTTTTTATGTTTGCCCCTCCAGTACACTGTTAGCTCCTTGAGGGTTGGCGCGGCTATATTATTAGTCTAATAATTACCAGCACCTAGCAAACAAACAAAAAATACTTCCATCTGGTGTTAAGACAGCTGATGTGACTGCCAAGAATATTCAATTATCTGGATATACACTGTTCAGTATGATAACTATGAACCATGTGTGGCCATTTAAGTTTAAATGTAACTTAATTAAAATAAAATAGAATTAAAAAATCAGTCTCTCAGTTGCACCAGCCACATTTCAAGTGTTTAGCACCATGTGACTCACTGCCACTGTATAGAGCAGTGCAGATACAGAACATTTCCATCAGTGCACAAAGGTCTGTGAATGGTGCTGGAATGTAGCAGAGAGAGGCTAGTGTTAGGGAGAGCATGAACAGATACATTTAAGCAATTTTTTTAAAATATGAAGTTCTGTAAAGGATACAGAGATTATTTACCAATGATACTGTTAAGATACTATTTTCAGAAGTTAAGAAATTAAAAAGTTCTTTGTTCATGTTTTAACTTGTTTTAATTACTAACGATTGTACATATCTTGGTTAAAAAAGGTAACATAGATTTTTTTTTAATGACCAGATTTCGAAAAATTCTTATTCAAGTATATTTTAAAAAATTATATGCCAAATTTTCATCACAGATTATACAATTTAGTTTTTGACAATAATTTAGCTTAGAATAAATCCTGATATTTTTAAAGTGCTGGTCACATTTTAATTTATATTTCTTTTCTTTTTGAAATGGGGTCTCACTCTGTCGCCCAGGCTGGAGTGCAGTGTCGTGATCTTGGCTTACTGCAGCCTCCATCTCCTGGGATGAACTGATGTTACCATCCCAGCTTTTTGAGTAGCTGGGACTATAGGCACACACCACCACACCAGGCTAATTTTTGGTATTTTTGGTAGAGACAGTGTCTTACTATGCCACCCAGGCTGGTCTTGAACTCCTGAGCTCAAGCTATCTGTCCACCTTGACCTCCCAAAGTGCTGGGATTACATGCATCAGTCACTAGACCTGGCCCTGTATTTCATTAATTATTCACTTTATAATCTAATAACTATGGATAAAATAAATTTCTAGACAACCAATATGCTAAACAAAATATATAAGGGTATCTTTTTTTGTATGTAATTCCTTAATAATAGGGGCTATTTATAATGAAGCTGTTTTTTGTAAAAGATGATCTATCTGAGAAGTTAGGGGACCCAGAATTGTTCTTTTGAAAAATATGCTTTTTCTGAGCACAGGAAATAGGAATCAATCTGTTCTTATTTTATATTTCAGGTAATATCTCCCAGCTGTAATGATGACATCACAGTGAAAAAGGATCAGTGTTTAGTTCGATCATTTATTGATTCTAAATTGTGAGTAATGAATTCTTTAATGATGTTATATGGGAGGAAAAAATATGGAATTACAATGATAGAGCGCTCCCCCACCAAAACTTTATTTTTAATAGTCTAATCATTCATGAACTGAGAAGTTGTTACCTAATACATTTTGACTTTTTGTAATGTAGGGTATTTTTCACTAACACATTTTGTATAAAATCTGTGAACAACATTATGTGAGAACAATATTAAGTTTTTTTTTAGCAAAGCATGGTATTTATTTTTTTCCTTAATTGTAAAATTCTATATTTTCATCATGTGTAGTATGTGACATTTATTATTAACTCCGAAGCTTATTTTTATTTTTTATTTTTTTTATTTTTTTTTGAGACAGAGTCTCGCTCTATTTCCCAGGCTGGAGTGCAGTGGCGCGATCTTGGCTCACTGCAAGCTCCGCCTCCTGGTTTCATGCCATTCTCATGCCTCTGTCTCCGGAGCTGCTGTGACTACAGGCGCCCGCCACCACGCCTGGCTAATTTTTTTGTATTTTCAGTAGAGATGGGGTTTCACCGTGTTAACCAGGATGGTCTCGATCTCCTGACCTTGTGATCTGCCTGTCTCGGCCTCCCATAGTGCTGGGATTACAAGCGTGAGCCACTTTGCCCGGCCTGAAGCTTATTTTTTTAATCTACATTACAAGGGCAATTATTTTGACTTTTTTCATGATTAAAATCCAGACTTTTGGGCCGGGCGCGGTTGCTGACGCCCAGCCAAGGCGGGCAGATCATGAGCTCAGGAGATCAAGACCATCCTGGCCAACATGGTGAAACCCCGTCTCTACTAAAATATCAAAAATTAGCCGGGTATGGTGGTGCATGCCTATAGTCCTAGCTACTTGGGAGGCTGAGGCAAGGGAATCACTTGAACCTGGGAGGCAGAGGTTGCAGTGAGCTGAGATCGCACCACTGCACTCCAGCCTGGCGACAGAGTGAGACTCTGTCTCAAAAAAAATGAAATCCAGACTTATAAAAACTTTTTCCTAACCTCATCTCTGCTTTGCGATCAAAAAAGTGAAATTAAAAAAGTTTTTTTGAGTTATAGTTCTCTGTGAAAAATTTAATACCATAATATATCTTATAGTGGTAAAAATATTTCAATATTACTATCTAGTAAATGTGCTTTTTTACTAAAATGAAAAATAAATTTCACAAATATTAAAGTAGACATTGTTGTCTACAAGTGTTGAAAACATCATGCTGATATAAATTACCCGGTACTATCTGTAGGAGGAATGTATAGATTGAAATATTGTGAATGTGAGGCCCTCAATGTACTTTGATATATAAAACTTCAGAATTAAGATAACTAGCTTTGCCTGTATTACCTCTTCTTACCTTTTATTAAGGAGTAAGTTAAAAACATTTTATAGGCAATATTTTGATTTTGAGGTTTTTATTTTTCTATATGTCAACATGTACTATTTAAGTAATAATTTGTATTGAGTAAGTTATTTTCCTCCCCTTCTTCTTGACAATTAGTTACTCTATAGCAAGAAAGGACATTAAGCAAGTAGACATTCTCAATCTACCGGAATCTGAGCTCTCCAGTAAACCAGGTAAAATAAGGATGAATTACCCTATTATTTTATGTTGTGGCTCTATATGGAAAATAGCAAATAAAGCAAGACTGATACTCTCTGGTGCCACCATTTTAAGTGTTTAGAGTTGATAACCAATCTTACTTGATTTTTTTTTTAACGTCTAGATATATTTGATGTGTGATTATTAGATAAGTTTAATTTTTCATATTTTACCATTAAGATGTCTCACAGTATTCTGTAAAGTAATAACAAATTTTATATAACATTGTAACTTATGAAATATGTTCAAGCTTACTGTATCATTTTATAAATGACAGCTGAATTTGAATTCAGATCTTCTGATTCTGAATGCCATGCCTTTTCTTTTGTTCTGTGCTGCTAATTCCAAGCAACTGCTGAAGTACATTTTCACTCTTAGGGCTTCAGAAAGCAAGCATCTTCTTAAAAACTAGAGTTGTTCCTGATAATTGGAAAATGGATATAAGTGAAATCCTTGAGTCATCCAGTAGTGATGATGAAGATGGCCCAGCTGAAGAAAATGATGAAGAAAAGGAAAAGGAGGTCAAAAAGACAGAAGAAGAGGTGGTAGGTGTAATTTCATGTTTGTAACAAATAAAAACATCTTAATATTCTCTAGTGAAGATAATACCTTCATATATTTTTCCCTCTGTTTAGATTCTCTATTATTTGTTTCCATTTCTAGCATTGCTTGATTTGGGTGTTGAGGAAGGTTTTTGGCTCATAGCATAGTGTGTAAATCAGAACTAATTTTTAGTAAGAGGTTACAAGAAAATACTTTTCAGGTTAGTTAATCAACAAGTGCACACTGGTTTTTTCGGGGTGTTTTCCAAAACAACCCAGGAGGGAAAAAAAAAAAAATTTTAGGTATTTTATATGTGTTAACTCATTTAAACTACTACCGTATAAAGTAACTGTTGTTATCCTACTTTAAAGGTAAGGAAAGGGAGGTTCAAAAAAGTTAAGTAACTTTCCCAAGGTGGCACAACTAAAATGGGAAGGATAGGGATTTGCACCCAGGTCTGGCCTGTCTCAACTTTAAAACCTCTTTCAGACATTTCACAATATTTCAAGGATAATTAGGGAAAAAAAAAAATCCTATCCAAACCCCAAAGACAATTTCATTTGGCAATTTGGTAAATCATAGAAAAGATTTAGATTATATGTTCTAAGTGCTAATGGTTTTCTTAGTAATATTGCCATGTCATTTATAATGTGCGTATAATTGTAGGAAATCATCCATAGAGTACTGCATGATTGCTTATATGAATACTGTTGTCTGTTCTGCAGTGTTGTATCAAATGGGGTAAACTGTCTAGTATATTTTTGGTTGTTATGGGGTAAAAGGGCTTAGGGGCAAGACAAAGACAATGAATTTACTGAAAAGGGGGACCTATTTGAGCATGAAAAATATTTGCCTGGAAAAATGTGGGATGCTTCTGTTTTAAATACACAAATACGAATTTATGAAATGAAATGAGTATACTCGTATGTGATGAAGGGCATACGCTATTTCTTTCCTTTTACTTCCCCTGCAGTATTTGGTTTTTTTACACTCTGAAATCAGAATGGCGGTTCATACTTACAGGCTGCCTACAGAGTTGCCATAGTAACATGCTGTTGGTTTTAAGTGAGCATGCTCGGAAAGACAGGAAGGTTTAGCAGAGGCTTGGCAGGTTGCCAATGGAGGTTTGCCAGATGCTTTGAAATGGGCTGTCTTTCTTTTCCTTTCATGTAATGTCTGATTTTTATGTGGAAGAGAATGTAAGTAGTGCTGTATAACCCTGCGGATGCTATGCCCTAAGAGGGAAAGCAAATATTTGCAAGTCAGACTGAAAAATGTCCAGACCCTGTACTGATTAAGTAGAAGGGGAATCTAACCACTTTGCATTTGAAAGAAAATGCAGCATATAGGTAAGATTTTTTTTTGTATGTTTAGTTACCATTTTGATTGCCAAAGACGGGATTAAATAAGAATTTTAGGTATTGATGATGTAGCTGATATGGAAGGACTCAGAACCAAGAAATATTCTTTCTTGTAAAAAAGACAGTAGGAGTCTATTTTTAGAATATCAATGGATGAAGGCTATTTTTCTGAAACAAGATAGATTTTGAAATGAAAATGATAATGAGATAGTTTGGCAAAATTCAGGATTTAAAGTCAGAATATTAAATGTGAATTTTGTATTTTATGTGTATTTATTTATAGATTATATATTTTCAGGGTAATTAGGCCACATTTTCAGGGTGTGAACTGTTGCAAATCTGTGATTTAGCTTTTGTTTTTTAAATTAACATTAGTTAGGATCTTATACTGTCCAATATTGAAGAAAGATTAGCCTCTTTATTTTTGCTAATACTTTTAATTGCTGTCCCTTCCAGAATGCATTTTCCCTACCCCCCCCTCACCCTCTAAAAACCCTGAAATTTTAAACAAAGAGGGTAAAAAGAGCTTTGTAGAAAGTTGCAGAGGGAGACTATAAAATAGTAAATTGTAAGTAGTGGTCTTATTACAATGATTCATTTCATAAATATTGTAATGTTTTATTCAAGCTGTGAGTATACATTAGTATAAAAGAACGAAGAGCAGAGGCAAAGCTCTGTTACCTATTGTTTGCAGGTAATAGTAAATAAATTTTTAAAGGTAAGAAAGCTTATAAGGATAGTATCTTCTTAAAATGTGTCATGTAAATTATGAGCCTGTTAAAATTAAGTGGATCAGGATGCTTTTCATCTACTGAAAAATAACAGCAAAATTACAGAATTTAGGCACTGATTCATATGATTATTTATTTTTCAGATGGTCAATTTCATAGCGTATGTTTTATTGAATTATTGAACTAATTCTTTGACTATACAGGAAGATTTTCTTGAGTGAAATTTTGTTGCTTTAGAAAAATATCAGCTGCATTTCTTGCTCCTGGGTTTAAGATTTAGTTGCTGAATCATTGTAGCTTGTCTTGAACAGTTATTTTTTAAAAGTGTAATATACTGATAAACTGAAAAGCACTGTATACAATAAAGAGGAGGGGAATGACTATGGTATAAAATGAATAAAAATCTGATAAACCATGGCCTACCTGGCTTAGTCATTATGGGCCTTTACCATGTAGGTGAGGCCACGCTGTTGTATTACGTTACAGATCAGAGTCTTCCCAAAATGTAATGATGCTATGCTTTTCATGAAGATTCAATGTTGCATTACAATAATCAAAAAGATCTTTTGTAAGATTCTCTAAACCACTGTAACAATACTCTAGTCTGTCATTTGGTGTTTTTAGTATAGCAAGCAAATTTTATGCAGTAGAATCATACAAGTGTTAGATACTTCTGCAGTGTTAATGGGCAGTGAACATTGTTTTTATATTTGATGCTTTGGGTATCCTAAGTAGCCTTAATGAGATTTGAGATTCTATGACGTTACAGAAAGAGCACCTTTTCCCCTTAATATTAATTTGAATTCCTAAGTATTGGTAGTTCAGGATTTGAGTACAAGATATAGATCTCATGCTGTTACTATGTGGGAAAAGATTGAGGATCTGACAGAAAGTAGGTTTTATGTGTGTTGATTACTTTAAACTTGAACTCAATAATTATATTGAAAAATTCCCTGGGGGATATTTTTATGGTTATTACTGAAATGTTTTTGTTAAGAAAATTTTGTATTAGAAAAGATATTACTGGATTTTTCACCTTTAAAATTGATCAAAAAGTTCATGTAAACATAAGTAATCGTCTCAATTATTCATTTATTCCTGATTTATATTTACTTTGGATAAATATAGGAGAGTTTTCTAAGGGTAAAAAAAAAATGGATTGTTGTTTAGAAAACTGAGCATTAAGGAGAATGTGACCAGTCTTAGCTTTTTAAATCATTTTGGCTTATAATAAGTAGGCTTATAGGTTGGGCGCTTTTAAAAGTTTCCTATTTAGTAATGAAAATTTGAATTCAGTGAATTTTTAAATAACTACTGCCATTTCTCTAATATTGGGAATTGTTTAGGGACCACTGACATATTAATGCCTAAGATTATATTCCACTATTGTAAAAAATCGTAAGTATTTGAGTTTGTTTATTCATGGAAACATAAATATTATTTTTGATGTTTAAATCGTGTTATTTGTGCATATTTATGCCTTTTTGTAGATGGTAAAGGCATTTGTTGGTGGTCGTTCAAGATTACTTTAGGTATAAACTTACAGTAAATCCTTGATAACTTAAGAAAACCATGCTAAATTGGTAGAATTTAAAGAATATTTTAAATGTAATGTGAACATTTTGTATTTCTAAGCAGATCCTAAAAAGCCAACCTTCCGTGAATAATTGAGACTTTAGCTTGCAATCATATAACAGCTGACTTGCTAAAATCTTAAAGTTTAGCCCATTAAACAAACAAAAATGCCCCTATGTATTTAGCAGAGTCTTGCTTCATGGTAATAGTATAAGAAAGAGTCTAGCCCAATTAGGATCATCTAATAAGATTAATAAGGATTCCACATTTGTACACACAAATATAGCTACATACAGCTATGTTTTTATGTATTTAAAAAAACACTTTTATATCAATTCATTTTTTAGTTGTGGTCATATGAGATAGTTGACTTGTACTAAAAATCTTGGATTTGATAGCATTTAAATGACATCTTGATGATTAAAATGTGTACCTTTTCAAATGGGGAAAAATTACTAGGGTCAGTTAACTGATAAAATACAAGAATCATGTAATCATTTATTTTAGGCAGCTGTTGGTAAAACTGTTCTCTGAAATTATAAGTGCCTTACTATGAATATATCATCTCTTATGTGAGCCCTGAAATTTTCTGTAGGTGTACAATAGGGAAGAATAGTACCACTCTAAATTTTATGATTACCAAATTTCACTGGGCCTTCAGTACTATTGGTCAATTCCCAATTTCTGTAAGCAAATCATTATTTCCTCCATTAAACCGATAATCCTATATCCACTCCACACAATTTTGTAAAGAAATTGGGAGCTTCAGATGTGAGCATGCTGTAAACCTGTTTGCCTGCTCTCTTTCGCTTGAGGCACAATTGATAGTGTTTTGTCTTCCTCTATAAGATGAGTCTCTCAGGTTATGCTCTGGATCTCATTCCCTTCCTCCTTTCAGGAAAAGAGAGACTATCGACTCTCTCTTCTCTTTCTTGCATCTTTAACTTACTCCTTTCAGTTGTATCCTTCTCATCAGCTTTTTAAAACATGCTTACATCTCTCCCAGCCTTCTGACAACCCCTCCATATTTCCTCGACAAGTCTTCAGACAACCTCTGTGCTTTCCGCTCCAGGTAACTACATTTCTTCTTCATCCACTCATGGCCAGATCACTTAGAGTTACATACACTGTTCATAACCTCTCCTTTACTCTTAATTCACTATAGTGTATCTTGCTTTCCCACAACTAAAACAACTTTACTAAGGTTAGCGGTGACTCCAACAAAGTTTTGTACTAAACCAAACACGTTTTTATCTTGATCTTACTTGACTACTGAGTAGTAGTCAGTACCTCTGACATACCTAACTTCTTAGAATGCTTGGTATCCATGACATC